GGTTTCTGTTTTTTGTTTTGTTTTGGTTTTGTTGTTGTTGTTGTTGTTTTTTAGAAAGACACACTCCCAAGCCCCACTCTGGAGCTGTTCACAGAAGACATCTATTTTTTTTTTTAATTTCAAATATTCACAGTGGTGATTTTGATGTATACCTGCTACTAGAAGCCATGAGTTGGAAACAGCTGTGGCCTGAAGACCCTTCATATAGAGGTTGTCTAGGGGAGGATCTAGAAGTGTTTAGAATCAGGTATGTAATCTGGAGTTGGGATTTGCCTATCTCCACTGCATGTAGCAGAATGCAGAGCTAACCCCAAGCAGAGGATCAGCAGGCAAAGGGGACACTTAGCAGGAACTGTCAGAGCAAGGGAACAGGTGCCGGCAAAGTCTCAAGACCTGAGAGGGTATAGAGAACTTGGCAGGCAAAAGAACAAAAAGAACAGAGATAAGGAATCCAGAAAAAGGAGCTGGTGATTCTATGTTGACCTTCTGTCCCCCATTGAAGAAAATTCTAATTTTTTTCCTGCTAAATCAGGAAGCAGTTCCGGGAGATTTTAGTCAACAATTTGCCACCTCTGACAGACGTTGGTATGGGCTGCTGGTGTGCACACCTGGTGTACTGCTGGAAATAAAAGGGGAATAGAGTTAGGACAAGGAAATGGGGAAATGTGCAACTAAGCTAGATTTGGGTAGATTGGCTGGTGGAAGGAGCCATTTCAGACTACAGGAATTCTGGAGTCAAAAAAACAAAGCAAAAAACGATGCCTTGCAAACAGAACCAAGAACTGCACTTCCCATCGTTTAGCTGTCCACCAGAGTCAAAACACTCATTCTGACTATGTGTCTTGATGTCTCCTGGATATGAGTGGTATTGCAAATATTTTTAATTTAAAAAGAAGCCCTCCTACAAAAACATTAAGGTTAGCAGATAGTACATGCTACACACCATTCTGATTTTTAAAAACAAATAAACACAAAGCTACCTTGAACTGTTAGAAGGGCCTGCTCTATGTAAGGCAACTAACTTCCTTCTTTTTTAAAGTAACAGGTCAGTGAGTGAGATATCTCTCACCATAACTCTGGCCAACACATACAGATTTATCTTTTATTTTATAAAATGAAATAAACATAACATAAAATTTACCATCTTAACTTCAACTGTACAGTTCAGTAGCATTAAGTATATTCACATTGTTATGCAACCGATCTCTAGAACTTTTTCATCTTGCAAAACTAAAATTCTATACCCATTTGACAACTCCCTAATCCTTCCTCTCCCAGCCCTCAGCAACTATCTACTTTCTGTCTCTATGAATTTGACTACTTTAGGCTGGGCGCCATGACTCACACCTGTAATCCCAACACTTTGGGAAGCCAAGGCGAGAGGATCATTTGAGGTCAGGAGTTCAAGACCAGCCTGGCGAACATGGCAAAACCCTATCTCTACTAAAAATACAAAAAAAAGAAAAAATTAGCCAGGTGTGGTGGCACATGCCTATATTCCCAGCTACTTGGGAGGCTGAGGCAAGAGAATTGCTTGAACCCGGGAGGCAGAGGTTGCAGTAAGCCAAGATCATGCCACTGCACTACAGCCTGGGTGACAGAGTGAGACTCCGTGTCAAAAAAAAATAAAATAAATAAAAAAACAAACAAAATGAATTTGACTACTTTAGATACCTCATATAAATGAACTCATACAGTATTTTGGGATTGACTTATTTCACTTAGCATAATGCCCTCAAGGTTTATCCATAGTGTAGCATATGTCAGAATTTTCTGCCCTTTTAAGGCTGAATAATATCTAATTCACTGTGGTTTTTTATCTATTCATCTGTGGATGGACATTTGGGTTGCTTCTGCCTTTTGGCTACTTTGAATAGTGCTGCTATGAACATGGGTGTACAAATATCTCTCTTACCTTCAATTTTTTGGATAAATATGCAGAAGAGGTATTGTTAGATCAGATGGTTATTGATGAAAAGAGTCAAACTCTCTGTAAAATATTTGAAGAGATTTATTCTGAGCCAAATATGAGTGACCCTGGCCTATGACACAGCTCTAGGAGATCTGAGCACCTGTATCCAAGGTGATTGGGCTACAGCTTGGTTTTACACATTTTAGGGAGACATCAGACACCAAGAAATACATGTAAGATGTACATTGGTCTTGTCCAGAAAGGCAGTATAGCTCCAACCAGGTGATGGGGCTTCCAGGTCATAGGTGGATTCAAAGATTTTCTGACTGGCAATTGGTTGAAAGATTTCAGTTATTACCTAAAGACCTGGAATCAATAGAAGGAAGTGTCTGGGTTATTATAAAATATTGTGGCAAGCAAGGTTCTTATTATGCAGCTGAATCCTCCACGTACAAGGCTTCAGAGAAAACAGATTTTAAATGTTTCTTATAAGACTTAAAAAGGCAAGGTTTCAGAGAAAAGGGAACACTTACACACTGTTGGTGGGAGTGTAAAATAGTTCAACCATTGTGGAAACCAGTATGGCAATTCCTCAAAGAGTTAAAAGCAGAATTACCACTTTATGGACCCAGCAATCCCATTCCTGGGTATATAACCAGAGGAATAGAAATCATTCTAGGCCGGGTGCAGTGGCTCACGCCTGTAATTCTAGCACTCTGGGAGGCTGCAGCAGATGGATCATGAGGTCAGGAGTTCAAGACCAGCCTGGCCAACATAGTAAAACCCCGTCTCTACTAAAAATACAAAAATTAGCCTGGCATTGTGGCGTGTGCCTGTAGTCCCAGCTACTCAGGAGGTTGAGGCAGGAGAGTCACTCGAACCTGGGAGGCAGAGGTTGCAGTGAGCCGAGATTGTACCACTGCACTCCAGTCTGGGCAATAGGGTGAGACTCCATCTCAAAATAAATAAATACATAAATAATTCTACCATAAAAACACATGCACATGAATGTTCATTGCAGCACTATTCACAATACCAAAGACATAGAATCAACCCAAATGTTCATCAGTGATAGACTGGATAAAGAAAATGTGGTACATATACACCATGGAATACTATGCAGCCATAATAAAGAACACGGTCATGTCTTTTGCGGGAACATGGATGGAGCCAGAGGCTATTACCCTTAGAAAACTAATGCAGGAACAGAAAACCAAATACCACATGTTCTCACTTATAAGTTGGAGCTAAATGATGAGAACTTATGAAGAATGAAGACAAAGAAGGAAACAACAGACACTGGGGTCTACTTGATAGGGGAGGGTGGGAGGAGGGAGAGGAGCAGAAAAGATAACTATTGGATACAGGGCTTAATACCTGGGTGATGAAATAATATGTAAAACAAACCCCTGTGACATGTGTTTACCTATGTAACCTTCACATGTATCCCCAAACCTAAAATAAAAGTTAAAAATAGAAACAAACAAACAAACAAACAAGACTTTAAAACGTGCCAGACTCTTAGCTAATTCTCTCCTGGATCAGGGAAAAGACCTGGAAAGGGAAGAGGAGAAGGGGATTCTCTAGAAAATGTAGATTTTCCCCATAAAAGACAGCTTTACAGGAGCATTTCAAAATATGTCAAAGAAATATATCTGGGAGTAAAATACTTCCGTTTCTTTCAGGTCCTGCTATCTGTCATGTGATGCTATACTAGAGTCAGGTTGGAATTTGGTGTCTTGTTGCTACACAGTCTGTTTTGTCAGCCTTAAGATCACTGTTTTAATGTTAATGTTGGTTAGTTGTGCCTGAATTCCAAAGGGAGGAGAACATAATGAGGCATTACTAACCCCCTCTTCCCATTATGGCCTGAGCTAGTTTTTCAGGTTAACTTTGGAATGCCCCTGGCTGAGAGGAGAGGTCCATTCAGTTGGTTGGGGGGGCTCAGAATTTTATTTTTTTCTTTACATGATAATTCTGTTTTTAATTTTTTGAAGAACCACCATATTGTTTTCCACAGTGGCTGCATCATTTTGAATTCCACCCAACAGTTCACTTGTCCTAACATGTGTGAGGTGATATCTCATTGTGGCTTTGAATTGCATTTCTTTGATAATTTGGGATGTTGAGCATTTTTCATATACCTGTTGTCCATTTTTCATATACCTGTTGTCCAGTAGACATCTTCTCTGGGAAAATGTCTATTCAAGTTCTTTGCCCATTTTTTAATCAGGTTATTTGTTTTGTTTTTTTACTTTTGAGTTGTGTGAGCTCTTTATATATTTGGATATTAATCCCTCAAGATTTGCAAATGTTTTCTCCCATTCCATAGGTTGCATTTTCATTTTGTTGATTAGTTCCTTTGCTGTGCAGAAGTTTTTTAATTTGATGTAGTTCCTCTTGTTTATTTTTGCTTTTGTTGTCCATGCTTTTGATGTAATATCTAAAATATCATTACCAAGGACAATATCAAGGAGCTTTTCTCCTATTTCCTTATAGGACTTTTATAATTTCAGGTCTTACATTTAAGTTTTTGATTCATTTTGAGTTGATTTTTGTGCATGGTATAAGATAAATGTCCAGTTTCATTCTTTTGCATGTGGATATCCAGTTTTCTCAACACCACTTATTAAAGAAACTATGCTTTTTCATGTGTCTTCTCCATGGCCTTGTTGAAAATTCACTGACCATATATGTTTTTGTTTATGTCTGGGCTCTATTTGGTTCCACTGGTCTTTGTGTCTGTTTTTCAGCCAGTACCATGTTGTTTTGATGACAATTCTGTAATATAATTTGAAATCAGGAAGTGTGATACCTCCAATTTTGTTTTTCTCTCTCCAGCTTTTTCTGGCTAGGTGGGGTCTTCTGTGTTTTTATATTGTAAGGCTCTTGTATTGGTTCGAACTCTGGGAGCATGCCAACAAACACCACAAGGTGGTGTGGAACAACACGCTATTTTAATGAGCTCCTGGGTACAGACGGGCTGAGGCCTAAAATGGCGTCAGCACCAAATGAAGATGGAGTAGGGGTTTTATAGTCTCCTGTAAACAGGAAGTGTCTCAGTCTGATGTAACTGCTAGGCGGTACCCAGACCGCCTCTCTCTCAGTCTTCAGGGAGTACTTGTCTTCCGGCCAGCTCTCTTCCTGCTTCTGCTATCTTGCTGACGCAGGCTGCTGGTGCAAGGGATCTTGCACCTTGGGACTGGGCCTGAGAAGGTAGGAGTTATTCACCACCCACGCCACCACCCCCCCACCCCCACAAGCTTCTAGGCCCCGAGGAAAGTCTTTCATCTATATATTTTAGAGTTGCTTTTTCTATTTCTGTGAAAAATGTCCATAAGACTTTGTTGAATCAGGTTGAAGCTGTATATTGATTTGGGTAGTATGCACATTGTAACAATATCAATTCTTCCATTCCACAAACACAGTATACTGGGTTTAACCTCTTTCATCAGTGTTACAACTTTCAATATACTGAACTTTTACCTCCTTGGCTAAATTTACCTCTAAGTATTTTATAATTTTTTTTTTTTTGCTGTTGTAAATAGGATTGTGTTCTTGATTTCTTTTCTAAACTAATCATTTTCAAATGGTTATTTTCAGACATGATTTATTTAGACATAGAGTAGCACCTATTGTTGACATTTTTTAAAGTAGATTTTCAAGCAAGGATTGTAAAGCCAATTTGGCAGATCTTATATGATCTAGAGCTATGGTTTCCATGCCTCCCCATGGGTAAAATAAAGAAATGGGTAAATAATTCTGAGCATACAACTCCAGTGCCAGCGTGACAACCGCTAACTTCAAGAAGCCTCTAGTAACACCTGAAAAACCCTGCTATGTATACTTGGTTCATCCATTTTCACCCTCCTACATGGTTATTTCACCTCTTCTTCAGTCGTTGCAAAACTCCACCTCTCTCAAAGCTCACCCAGCTGATGACCCTGCTTTTTCTAATTCACTGAAAAACTACAGTAATCAAAAGAAGCTCCACTTCCTCCCATGCACACATCTGCCAAGCCACTGGCTCCATGCCCATATACTCTGCCCTCCCTCCAGTTACTACAGATGAAGTAATTGTCTGTGCTCTAATAAGCCAACTGCTGCACTAAGTCTTGTCCCCTCTTACCTACTCAATGACATGTTGCCAGGTGAGTTCCTTCTTAAATTTTTCACCCAAGGTGTCTCACTTGTCTCCCAGAGTCCCAGCCCTGCAGTATTGGGACCGCCTTAAACATAGAAGCAGCATCTGACCACTCTTACCATCTCTACTGCTATTGACCTGGTTTAAGCCAGGACAACTGCTCCTGGGGCTAGTGAACTACCAGCTGGTCTTGCACATCACTGCCCTCACTGTTGAGTCTTAACACAGTAGAGTTAGTCCGTTTCAGTGTAAGTCAGAGGAGAACAGCTCTTTGCTCCAAATTCTCCCATGACTTCCCTACCATTCAAAGCAAAAGCCAAAGTCCTGGCAATGGCCTCAGGGCCCGACAGATCTGGAGGCCAGCTACTTCTCAGACCAGCCCCCACAGCGACTCTGGCCACTTTGCTGCTCCTAGAATGTGTTAAGTACACCCACAGCAAGACCTTTGCTTTTGCTGCTTTCTCCACCTAAAATGCTCTTCCTCCAGATATCTGTGTGGTTTGATCCCTTTACATCTCTGCTCAAATTCATTCTGTTGTCAGAGAGGCACTCCCTGGCCCTTCTTCATAAAAGAACTGTCCCCTCATCCTGACCTGTTCTTCTCCCTGATGTTATCACCACCAGATAAACTTTATTCTCTGTTTTTTTCTGCCCATGGTCCACTAATGTATCCATCCCACCTGCTACATAGTAGTCCAGTGCACCTGGTCCTACCTGCCCAATAAATGTTTTAAATTAAGTGCAAATTATTTTCATGCATGCCTATCAATTCATATATACAATATTAATATATCTTATTTATTTTTGGATAAAATTGAGTGTTAATATTCCCTTTTCTCCTCACCTCCCCCCCCCCACCACCTTATTCTGTTCAGCTTTCTTAAGCCCTGTGACCACTCCTTACACCACCCCCTTTGTCACAGTGGCCCATGAAGAGCCCACATCACACTTTTCCTGCATGCGCAGAAGTAAAATAAGATGAGAACTGTGGGTTCATGATATAACTCTGTTATTTTCACCATCACATCTCAGAAATGGTTTACTGCTTCTATCAAGAAAATACAGATGTTCTCTAGAATCTATTTTTAAACAGCAAAAACATCTTGACTCCCCCTCTCAGGGATGACCAATATATTCAAATCTAAATTAAACATTAAGGGGGAAATTTTAGTTTTATGTCAAAATATTAATATTTGGTATATGATGTGTCTGCAGATTAAATGTTTCTATTTATGTAACTGCATACAAATGTTTATCAAGCTATCAACCTTATATATATGCTTCCCTTGAAAAAAAAAATAAAGCTATACAAATGAATACTAACAGTTGTTGACCCAAATACGTTTTAATGTAATGTAGGTGTTGAAAAATGCAAAGCTTTCTTTTAAGGGTAATGCTTATCCTAGGCTAGTGCAACAACTCCTTGGAAGTCAACCAAAGACACTCTTTTTCCTCTGTTGTTTCTTTATGTAGAAATAATGACGGTCCTAGCTACCCATTTCCTACCTCTGCTTTTCAAGTAGATCATTTTATTTCCTACCATTAGGTCCCATTGAAGAAAACTCAGGAGCAATGAGGATACTGATTATGTAGGACAAGGGCACTATGTTCCATGGCGGCGGGGGAATAGTGGTACATGGCCCAGTGGAAAGATGGGGCTTTCTCTATTCAGAAAAAGAGATGATGCTTATGGTCTTACATGGAAGGGACATCATGTGAGATGTAAAGTCAGTGGAAATCAAGAGGTTTCCACAGGGGCGGGGAGAAGGGGAAATATTGGCAATAAATAGACAAGTGGGCAGGGAGAGGAATGTGGCTAATTTCTTTTTCCTGCTTTTACAGTTTTGAAGGGCACAGCCAGCCAGATTTTCCAGCTTAGTTCATTTTCCTTCTAAATAAAAGGCAGCACTGCAGGATAAGCATGACCAGAGCATAGCCAGAGAGCATGGGATGCGTATAGTGATAATAAAAGAGGGGGTGACTGAGTTGTTTACAATGAGCAGACAAACTTTACTGGAATTGAATACAGGTGGGCCTCCTGCAGTCAGTGCCCCTGTTGACTTTAATTTGCTTCATCTGTCTGCTGCTTGCCTCCATACCTCTACTTCCTAAGTGCCTTTATCCCGCCTGTGTTTGCAACAGTGGTGGGAAGAGGGGTCAGCCGTTCTAATTGTTCTGTTAATAAGAACAAAATGAAGGTCCCTCTCTGCAATAGACCCATGACTAACCAGGACATCAGAGACTGCAGCTGCCTCTTCAACTCCACAATCAGCAAGCAGCTACCTCTCCCAAATTCGCCTCTTAGGGCCTGCTCTCCATGTGACCAAGGAGAGTGGGCTACAGAAGAAAATCAAGCCACGGGATCTGTGTCAATAAATCCCAACTCACCAAACTCTCGCTCCACAGGATGTGTGGGAGCCAGCTCACACAAGCTGGAGAGAGGCCATTGTGCACCTCTCTTCCCCGTCCCACTTAGTGACCCTACATTGGTTATGTGGCACCTGTTGTGGTGGGAGTATTTAGAAGTCAGCAAATCTCACAAATCAGCATGCTCATTCTTTTCAGGGAGGCCCTTGTTAAACACCAGCACGTCATTGCTTTCAACCCTAATATTTAACTGACGGCTTCAAATGTCTAGATGCTCTAATGGCTATTTCTGACAGCAGGATCCCAAATATTAGATAATGCAGAAAAGCGTAAAGGATGTAAATCTCTACTATAAGTGTACTGCTTAGAAACACTACTGATATTTGTGATGTATATCTTTCCAGACATAAATATGTGTGTTTCTAACCACATTTTCCTAGTGCAATTATTATTTTAATGTTTTTATTTATAAAACAAATAACAGATTTGTTCATGGACACAAATTTCAAACAATATAGGTTTGAAGTAAAAAGTGAAAAACCCACCCTCATCCCCTCTCACCCTCCCTCTAAACTCCTACCTCCTAGGGGTAACTTCTGTCCATAGTTTGTGGCATTTTCTTCTAGATCTTCAGATAGTTAGACTCCTTTTTTTTTTTTTTAAACTAAAACTAGCATTATATCTGCATACTGCCCCACATCCTGCTTTCCCACAGGAAGACTGATTGCAAGCTCCATGTTCCCGTACTTCATTAGGCTGACTCCCCTGCAGCTTCACGGTCAGGAAATAGCCAAAGCTGGGAGCTTTGGGCAAAACACACTTTTATTCTAATTGTTCTTTCCTTGGTCTCTGTTGTGGACACCAGTATTAACTCAGTTCCATATATTCATCAGGCCCCAACATCCATCTGAGGAGCCCTCTCCTCTCCAGGCAAACCCGTCATTTTCTTTAGACGAGAATGAAACTGCCTTTGCAAAATTATGACAGCAAGAGAAATCTGACATAGTTGACTCTGTCTTGCTTCTGAGCCCCAAGCTGTAACTGGTCATTCCTGGGCATAGGCCATTCCTCCTAACTTCAGGAGGAATTTAGTTTATGGTTTAACTTTAAAACAAAAGTAATAGTAGGCTGGATGTGGTGGCTCACGCTTGTAATCCCAGCAATTTGGGAGGTGGAGGTGGGCAGATCACTTGAGCCCAGGAGTTCAAGGCCAGCCTGGGTAATATGGCAAAACCCTGTCTCTATAAAAAATGCAAAAATTGGCCAGGCATGGTGGCATGCGCCTATAGTCCCAGCTACTCAGGAGGCTGAGGTAGGAGGACAGATTGAGCCCCAGAGGTCAAGGCTGTAGTCAGCTGTGATTGTGCCACTACACTTCAGCCTTAGTGACAGAGCAAGACCCTCTCTCAAAAAAAAAGGGGATAATAGTCTCTTCCTGAAACCAATCCCCTCCCTGTTCCAGGGCTGAAACTGCCTTTGTAAGATTAATGGGCGATCACAAAATAAGTGTACTTTCTATAATCCCTTACTGCTCAGCAGTCATGTGGCCAGAGGTTACAGGATTTGGGACCTTCCCAGTTGCTCCTATAGATAACATCACTAATGTAGAACCTAAGATTGCTTTTCTGAGATATTTTTCAGACTGATCCCACCCAGACTGGTGACTCATGACTCAGCTGATCCTCTGGCCTCACCCAACCAACAG